ACAAAGAGATGGGTTTTTTTTGAGAAAATCAACAAGGTAGACAAACCTTTATCCAAACTAACAAAAAAACAGAGAGAGAGAGAGAACATGCAAATTATCAAAATCAGAAACAAAAAAGTGGACATAACAATGGACACAGAGGAAATCCAGACAACCTTCAGGTCATGCTTTGAAAAATCTGTACTCCACAAAATTTGAAAATTCAAAGGAAATGAACACATTTCTGGGTTACTTACACTTACCAAAATTAAATCAAGAACAGACAAACAACTTAAATAGACCTTTAACCCCCAATGAAATAGAAATAGTTATTGCAAGACTCCAAACCAAAAGAAGACCAGGGCCAGATGGCTTCAGTGCATAATTCTACCAGAAATTATGAGGCTACAATCACCTTGGTCCCCGAGCCTCACACAGACACAACTAAGAAAAAAAAAAAAAAAAAAACACTACAGACCAATATCCCTGATGAACATCAATGCAAAACTACTCAATAAAATTCTAGCATACCCGAATCCAAGTATATATTAGAGAAATCATCCATCATGACCAAGTAGGCTTCATCCCTGGGTTGCAGGGATGGTTTAACACATGAAATCTATCAACATGATCCACCATATAAACAAATTGAAAAAGAAAAACCATATGATTATCTCCCTAGCTGCTGAAAAAGCCTTCAACAACATTCAACACCATTTCATGATAAAGGTCTTGGAGAGATCAGGGATAACAGGAACATACCGAAACATAATAAAAGCAATATACAATAAACCAACAGCCAGCATCAAACTGAATGGAGAGAAGTTTAAGGTGATTCCTCTAAAATCAGGAAGAAGACAAGGCTGTCCTGTCTCTCCATATCTCTTCAATAATTTACTTGAAGTTCTAGCTAAAGATGTAAGACAACAAAAGGAGATCAAGGGGATCCAAATGGGAAAGGAAGAAGTCAAATTGTCGCTATTTGCAGATGATATGATAGTGTACATAAGCCCCCACCCCCCAAAAAAAAAAACTCTACCAGGGAACTCCTATAGCTGATGAACCCCTTCAGCAAACTAGCAGGATACAAGATAAACTCAAAAAAATCAGTAGCCCTACTTTATTCAGACAACAAAGAGGCTGCGAAGGAAATCAGAGAAACATCACCCTTTACAATAGCCACAAGCAACTTAAAGTATCTTGCTGTAACACTTACCAAACAAGTGAAGGACCTATATAATAAGAACTTTGTGTCTTTAAAGAAAGAAATTAAAGATACCAGAAAATGGAAAGATCTCTCATGCTCTTGGATAGGTAGGATAAATATAGTAAAAATGGCAATCTTGCCAAAAGCAATCTACAGATTCAATGCAATCCCCATTAAAATCTCACCACAATTCGTCACTGACCTTGAAAAGACAATAATCAACTTTATATGGAAAAACAAAAGACCCAGGACAGCCAAAACAACCCTGTACAATAAAAGAACTTCAGGAGGCATCACCATCCCTGACTTTAAGCTCTACTACAGAGCTATAGTTCTGAAAACAGCCTGGTATTGGCACAAAAATAGGCAGGTAGACCAATGGAATCAAATAAAAAATCCTGATATTAACCCAGAAACCTATGAACACCTGATTTTTGACAAAACAGCTAAAAGAATACAATGGGGGTGGGAATCATCTTCAACAACTGGTGCTGGCTGCAGATAGACCCGTGTGTATATCCATGCACAAAACTCAAGTCCAAATGGATCAAAGACCTCAACACAAATCCAGCCACACTGAACCTCTCAGAAGAAAAAGTATGAGGTACCCTTGAACAAATTGGTATAGGAGACCGCTTCCTGAACACAACTCTAGTAGCACAGACTCTGAGATCAACAATTAATAAATGGGGTCTCCTCAAACTTAGAAGCTTCTGTGAGGCAATGGACACAGTGGACAAGACCAAACGGCAGCCCACAGACTGGGAAAAGATTTCCACCAATCCTACATCTGACAAAGGGCTGATCTCCAAAACATACAAAGAACTCAAGAAACTAGCCAACAAAACACAAAATGACCCTATTAAATATGGGATAAAGAATTGAAGAAAGAGTTCTCAATAGAGGAAATCAAAAAGGCTGAAAGACACTTAAGAAAGTTCTCCACACCCTTAGCTATAAGGGAAATGCAAATCAAAACAACTTTGAGATACCATCTTACTCCTGCCAGCATGGCTAAAATTAGAAACACCAAAGACAACTCATAGTGGAAAGATGTGGAGAAAGTGGAACACTTCTGCACTGCTGGTGGGAGTGCAAACTCATACAGCCATTTTGAAGATTAGTATGGCAGTTCCTCAGGAATATGTGAATAGTTTACCACAGGACCTGGCAATCCCCCTCTTAGGCATATACCCAAATGATCCCCATCCATGCAACAAAGACGTGTGCTCAACTATGTTCATAGCTCAACTATGTTCATAGCAGCATTATTTGTAATAGCAAGAACCTGGAAGCAACCTAGATGCCCCTCAACTGAAGAATGGATAAAGAAGATGTGGCACATTGACACAATGGAATACTACTCTGCAGAAAAAGATAATGGAATCTTGAAATTTGCAGGCAAGTGAATGGAACTTGAAGAAACCATCCTGAATGAGGTACGGCAGTCACAAAAAGAGGAAAATGGTATGTACTCGCTCATATATGGACTCTAGACCTATAGCAAATGATCACCAGCCTATAATTCACATTACCACGGTAACTAGGATGCATGGTGTACTCTAAGAGATTCATATAAGGTCCCTTACAAAAGGGGAAGGGTCAAGTCCCCTAGAGCACATGGGAAGTGTGAGGGAGTGAATGGAGAGAGAACTAGAAGAGAAGGGGAGTAGAGGAAAGCATGTGTGACTAGGAAGATTGAGTCAGGGTAGGAATAGAAGACAGAGAACATAAAAGAGGGAGCCATTATTGGTTTGAAGAGAAAACTGAACCTAAAGAAAGTTCTAGAGACCTACAAGACTGACTCCAACTAACAATTTGAGCAACTGTGGAAAGGCTACCATAAATGCCTTTCCCTGATAGCAAGATCAACAACTAACTTATCTACCATGATGGAGCCCTCATCTAGTACCTGTTGGAAACAGAAACAAACACCCATAACTACATACTGAGTCAAACTAGAATCTAGATGCAGAGGGAGAGAATAAGACCAGGTTGCATAAACACAGAGACAGCTACCCTGAACAAAGAGGAGCTAATGGGTCCCCCCAGACTGATAGCTGGGAATCCAGCATGGGACTGACTCAGACCCCCTGAATATGGGTCTCAGCTAGAAGGAATGAGCAGTCTAAGGGACCTCAGACAATGGAGCCAGGCTGTATTCCCGGTGCACAAAAGGACCTTGCAGATACCCATGGAGGGACACTCTCTTAACCTAGAGACAGGAGAGAAGTCCTAGTCCCTACTTCAAATGACTTATTTATATGACCCCAACTGGATGGTATAGCCCTACATGTGGAATGGTGTTGGGGGATCGGAGGGGAGGTGGTCAGGGTGCATGTGAGGGCGGAGAGTGGGTAAGAGGAAGAGGGAAGTAGGATTGACATGTAAAATAAAAAGAAATAGTAAAGTAAATAAAATAGTAATATTGAACAAAAGGCTAAAGCTAGAGGTATAAATATCTCCCAAGATCAAATTTTTGTAGAAGGAGATTGTTACTTTAGAAAGGCCAAGACAATATGATGATCATCTCTTGGGTTTATGCCATACAGCAGCATTGAATGCTTGGGACAGAACTGGAGAAGCAGGAAAGAAAATTGAATAACTTACAAAAGTCATACAGGGCCCAAAGGAAGCATTCATGGACTTCTTACAAAGACTGCTATTAGCAGACTATAGAATGATATCAGACATAGAAGCTAGAAAAATAATTGAAACAATGGCTTTTGAAAATGCTAATGCACAATGCAAAGGATGATTAGGTTTTAAAAAGCAAAAGCATGGCCATGATTATATATAGATAGGAGAGGTGATTTCACGAGGTTTAAAGTAAAATACAAATGTCAAATGTTTTAATTGTGGTAGACAAGGTCACTTGAAAAGGGATTGTAAACAGGGTCCTTCTAGAAACAATTCTTTTTATAAAGATAATCCAAGCTCAGCACCTCTCCCTTCTGTATTATGCAAAAGGTGGGGCAAAGGCAGGTATTGGACAAAAGAATGTAGGTCAAAAAAGATTTTCAAGCAATTCTTTGCAGCCAGGACATGCCTTGAAGAACCACTTGAAAGCCCCTATGCCAAAACAAGTTCATTTGTTTCCTGCCACTGTGGATGAAACTACTTCTCAGACAATTACATAACCTAATGCCTATTTAGAGAAAACATACTGTTCTGGATGACAAAAGAGCTTTAGAAGCTAAAACAAAAAATTCCAGAGAAACCATGAATCAAAACTGATAAAGACTTGATTAGGAAACTCCCCAAAGTTAGGATTGAGGAAGAGTTTTGTTTCTGTCTTTAGGAAAATATAAACAAACACCTTGAGGAATTTAAGACCTTTGGACAAGTAAGTATCCAAAGAAGGGAAGGGAGAACTATCCAGAAAAAAAAAAAAATTACCAAGAAAGGAAATAATCTGACCCAACATGAGCTCTGAACTCTCCAAAAAGCAGACAGAATCCAAACTAAGAGGAGGTCATCAATGCCTTTAATCCACCACTTGGGAGGCAGAGGCAAGCAGATCCGAGTTTGAAGCCAGACATATTGGGGTGTCTGTGATTACAGTCTGAAATTTGGAGGAACCAGGATCGCCTTTCAGCCTGAGGTAACAGTAAAAGCTAGTGAGCAGCTACTTTGCTTTTCTGATCTTCAGTTTGAGGTTTAAAAGGCAACATCCGCCTCTGGGTTTTGCTCTTTATGTATATTACTAAGTAGTCTCAAAATCCCCCTTTTCAAGACTAACAAGCCCACATATTAATACACTGTGGAAAAGGTAAGTAAAATAAAATCTCAGGCCTAGGTGTTACTTGCTGCAGTTGTTTAAGTTTATTATATTCTTTAAATCCGAAGATTATAAGACATAGTATTATAAACACCTGAGGACCGTTCAACTGGACATAGCATCTTCATACAAACAATTTGCAAGAAGAACAAGTTTAAGTAAGATGTTGTATCAGAAATGACATAGGTGAAGTAATCTTTTATACATTTGCACTGTTATATAAAACACATTTGGTATTCGAAAGAGAAAATGTACATTCTTGTCCTGGTAAAAATTTTGTTGACATTTAGAACAAATGGCTAATACATGTATAACTGATTTACAGCTTATATGCATTATACCACTATATAAAGTAATTGCATGCAGAACCATTTTCCTTTGAAAGCTCTCATTTATAAAAATGAAGCCCCAATGCCAGAATTAATTTATCTTTTAAAATGTAGTAGAGTTGATGGCTCAGAACTAAGTAAATTAATTAGAAGTATTGCATAGGATAAAGGGCTTCCCTGTGTGGGAGCCAATCTATGTAGAGTTTCTTATCACCCGAATAACAAGCTGAGAGGTACTGGTGATAGTAAAATGATGTGCATATTTTTAATGGAATAAACATCTATAAATAGTTATTACCTCTGTGGCAGTGTAAAGTGCCATAATAAGTGAAAAGATCACTTGTATATTCTCACAGATATAGAATAGTATATAAATATGCTAAAGTATCTGTATAAGAATATACACAAAATAAACACATTTTTAAAATCGACACAAATATCTTAGAGATGTCAAAATTGAATGTTTAATGTTTGAGCATAGAAAAATTATAGAAAATTGTAAAATTGGTATAAAGTTTATCCAATCCTTCCAAATAACTCCGGTAGAATAAACATCTCCTGCACAAAATTATTCACTTTAATCTATCATACAGTTTAAAAATATCAAAGACTAGTAAGAACACTTTAAGCAAGCTTATAGACTTGCAGTTTCCCCTTTTTGTGAACAAATACACCACCTAGGGCACCAACAGAAAGGAAAATAACTTATATGGCTCTTCCCTTTCTAGTAGTAGTATATCATGAACAGAACACTGTAAAATCAGACATAAAATAATTGGGAAGGAGATGAGAGCTTAAGTGCATCTTTAAATTCTCTTTTGAGGAAAAATTCTCATGCTTTTATATTAGAGGTTAAGCTGGTATTGTCCCCATTGGGGTTTAACTATTTGGTTCTAAATATAAAGATTAATCCAAATAAAAAGTTTTCCTCTGTTTGCTACATGAAGTACACTTGTAAACACAATAAAAATAAAGATATAAATAATAAATTGCCAGTTATAAGTATGCTAATAAAACATATTCAATGGTGTTTGAGGATAAGAGTATAGTATCAATGTAATTGTACTACAATTTTGATAAAACATTTTATAAAAACCTTTAATAAAATAAAAACAGATGAGAAGGAAATTTAAAGTAAAATGTTTTCAGTATACCCGAGAACTGTCTATAATCTAAATTTGCACATTTTCAATTATATTTTACTTCTTTTAGTTTTTCAATGTAGTAACATAGTTTTAATGCTGGTCCTAGTTTCAGCCCCATATACTTCATCATCAGCTCACTCTTCAGTAGTAGCAGAGCTTTTCCATCAATTTCCTACAGAGAAAAGAAAATTATAGTAAGAATCCTTCCATAGTTTATTTACATATAAGAATGTAGAAAATAAAGTACTGTCCATTATATATATGTGTGTATATATATTCTCTCAATTTATTTTTATGAAAACTAATGAAATTTGATTTGTACAATGGAACATCATTTGATTATTTATAAATTTAATCTAAATTTTAAGAAAAATGTTTAACCCTGTATTTCCAATAAATGTTCTAAGTATCAAAGCATCTGACTTCACTGTGTATTAAACAAAATACTACCACATATTTATGACAAATAATTAAAGACCGTGAAGAGTAGAAATAAATTTCATAGGTTCTTAACCTTCTGAGAAGGGAAAGGAGTATGTCAGAATCAATGAAAACTGTAAACGTCTTCATTTTGAAAGCTAATCAGCTGTCTGAAGCTAGTTAGGTGCTGAAACAAATACTGATTTACTTAAAATATTGAAGAGGGCTGGGGCTAGGAAGGATTGCTCAGTCAGTAAAGCACTTGCATTGAAAACATGAAGATAGGAGTTGGATCTCCAGAATACATGTAAAAATGCCAGACATGATGGCATGTACTTAATCCCAGCACTGAAGAGGTAAAGACATTCAATCCCTGAGGTGCACTAGCCAATCAGTGTAACACAGTTGATGAGCCCCCAGATCGCAATGAGAGACCCTGTCTCAAAGGAGATTGTATAGCCTTACAGAAGATGAATCCTGAGATTGCTCTCTGGCCTCCATAGACATACAGACATGTGCATTTACACCTGCACACACATGTGGGTGCACGCGCGACACACACACACACACACACACACACACACACACACACAATAGTGTACACCAGACATTAAATAATTTTATGTTAGAAAATATTGTGAACACATTGCTTAACAGTCACAAGGAATCCTTTTAAAATTCTTTATTATTTTAATTGCACAATTCATGTTATAGAAGCCTATTATTTGGTATTTAAATCATAATGGAGTTGCTGGTTTCACTGGGTATCACGAGAAGGCCACCCTGGTATATGCTGTAGGTCAACCCCTCCTACTCGTGGTCCTAGAGTAGAACAGGGAGCAGGTTGGGGGAGGGTTATTATATTTGTCTTTACATTAAGGGGGTGGTCTGTATGAGAGTGGCAATCCTGTAATACCATCTCTTGAAAACTTGAAGTTGTTTAATGTACTAAATACTTGGATACCCATTAAAGAACAGGCAATTAACCTACCATTTAAGATCTGAATGCGGGGCAAAGTAATCTTTCTCAAAAATGAAAAAGATCAGTTGATAGGGTTCCCCCACCATCCATACAACTCAGTATCAAACTGAAAGGCCTGCACAGAGGTCATTCAAAGGCATTAGGGCAGCAGGAAAACCGGATCAAAAGATACGTTACATGTTGCCTGAAGAGGTCGGCGAGGGGGCCTGATATGTGAGGATCTGTATGTTTCATAAACTGTATCACTTCATCCACAGACCAGGTTGAAGGGTCCTTACAGAAGCCTTGTTTCAGGACACTGGGGTCTGGTACAGCTATATAACTTGAAGCTTCAATGGGAGGGGAAAAAAAACAAATCATACTTGACCTGATCATAATCCTGAAAGAAGAGATATTAGGTAGAAAGTAATGGTCTCACTCCTGAAACCTTCTCTTAAGTACCAAAGTAAGGACTCAGGATTCCAACTGTAAAACCTCATGAGAGCCTGAATGAAGGTCTGAGTAGTGATGCGTAAGAGTGTGTCAATGGACATCTCCCAAAGAGTAGGATCAGCTTTACTTTAGATGGCACCTAAAAGCTTTGATGTTCATGAAACACATGTAGCAATCCAAGGCTTCTTAGGTCACAAGTAAGCACAGGAAAGGGTGATACTTAGATTAAATTGGGATAACCAGAGTTAACTCAGTATTGTTTTCTTCGAACGGATCCAACAAACTTCTCACAAATTATTCTTTAATGACTTTTTCTTCTAAATTGACTTTATTTTGTTAAATATGATGGAATTCTCAACTTTACAAGTTTATAATTCCCCACATTTGCTCAATTTTAATTAAATGTATTTCAATAACCATATTATGTTTGAGAAGAGGATTAGATATTTGAACTATTTTCCTCAACTTTTCAGTATGGACACTTTTAGCACCACTTTTGTACTTTAGAGTCTCATCTCTAGCTTAAATGTTAACCTCAGTTTTAAAGAAAACAAAATTACTTCCTGCTTAGCTAGGTCATAGCTTTAGTATTCTTATTTGATACCACTTTTATGCTTCACTATATAGCAATTGTTGTTTCGATTGGATGTTTAATAAAGAAGAAATAAAACAAAACACAACTAATGTATTCATCTATAGGTTCAGGTTAGAAGTGCTGGGGAAATTTCTTTGTGTTCAAATACTCATTAACTCAAAGAGAATGTTCAACTTTGTACTTTTAGTGTGTGATGGTAATTTAAAAAGGTTTTGAACTTTGCTAGGAAAATCTATTTATATTTCTAGGTATGAACTTTTCAGAGGTATATAATTTTGTTCCTATCATCTGGGTCAAGGCAAATTTATGAGTGCTTTGAGTATTTACCCCAAGAAGTGTATTGAAAAGTGTTTACAATTATAATGGTTTTCTGTGTATAGCTCTATTTTTTTTCTTTCCAAAAACCACAACTGTAATGTGAAATAAGTTCTTTACTAAAATATATTCTAGCCTTAACTTATCATAAAAATAAATAAACTTTTAATGGACTTCCATAAATTCAGGTTGATATTTAGTGAACATACTTAGAATTAACATTTAATATTAGTTCTTATGGAATAAATATTCTTTTTAGACATCTGGTAAACAATATCATTTAAAAACAGAAATAATCACTACAGCAGATGGGGTAGAACTGAAGGGTCAACATTTCAAGTGCCAAAAATGTGTATAGTGAAGTTGTTCATAGATAACATTCATGATTAAAAACAAACAATGAGGTCTTATTTTCAACATTCTTCCCTATTCAACTCAGTCTAGAGAAAACGGCCAGACAGAATATTTATTCCCTCCTTCACTCTTCTGCGTTCTTAACCTTTGAAAGAGTAAATAGTAGTAGCAGGAAAGGCTATGTGAGTTTTTTACAGAAATAAGATGCCATCCTTTTTTGGCAGATCTAAGAGAATGACAGAGGATGTGATGATTAGGGAAATGGTGTAGCTATGGAAACAGGATTCCAGAAACCTGATCCATGTGCCACACAAGGCTGTTACAAGGAAAGGTTTCAACAGATATGACAAAACATCAGAAACAAGGAGAAGGAAATGTGCCTCCTTTGCCTTAAGAGTTTTGAGAGGTTTTAATAGTCCTCCCAGTACATCAGAAATTGTTTAGACTTGCTTGAAAACTGTTAATCTGAGAAGTCTCAAATCAAATGTGGTGGATAATCCAAAACTCCAGAGACATTCTGTGATGCCCAGAGGACATGAATAGCCACAACTGTACTATTCCTGGCAATGTGAAAGAGAGAATCTGACCTTTCTAATTTTGGCATTTTAAGAGCTACTCTGGGGGTATGGTCAAGCATGGAATCCTCAAGGAAAAAAGATAACACATTGACTGAGAAACACTGTTCTTGAATATACCTTCATTTTTCTTCTTCCATTGGAATTTAATGTGCTTATAAATCGTCGAGGTAGATGACTTTTTCATAACTATAGATGTACTTGAGGTATTTGACACAATTTCAGAAACATTCTCGGAGACTGAAGTATGTGCAGGATACAAAGAATCACCTACTGATGAATTCTCAGAAGTTTCAGGAAAACTTTTCATTTTAGACATGCCATGTCCCACAGGAGAAAATACTACAGGGGGAAAAAGAGATTATCTTCAACAGCTCAAATAATATTAGAAAGCTGTCTTACTTTCCACTGCCGTGACAAAACACCATGACAAAGTTTTTAAAAAAAAAAAGCATTTAATTTGAGAGCTCATGGATCCAGAGGGTTAGAGTACATGACCATCAAGGTGGAGAGCATGGGAATAGGCAGGAAGGCATGGTGCTGGAGCACTAGCTGATGAGAGCCGACATCTGACCCATGAGCGACAGACAGATAGACAGATAGACAGACAGACAGACAGACAGACACACACACACAGAGAGCAGGAGCGAGCGCACTAACTGGAATTGGCATGGACTTTTATAATCTCAATGCTCTCCCTCAATGACATATCTTCTCCAACAAGGCCATACCTCCTAATCCTTTTCAAACAGTTCAGCAACTGGGAACAAAATATATTCAACTTTATGAGCCTATGGGTGCCATTCTCATTTACCACATTCCACTCCATGGTCCCCATAGGCTTGTAGCTGTATCAAAATGCAAAATGTATTTAGTCCAACTTCAAAAGTCCCCATAGTCTTTCAATATTGAAACTGTTTAAAAGTCCAAAGTCTCTTTTGAGATTTGAGGCAATTATTTGTAAAATCAAAGGTAAATTATATACACCCAACATGTAATGGCAAAGAATGCACATTGCCATTCCAAAAATGAGGAATGGGCATAGTGTTGAAAATACTGGACCAAAGCAAGACTGAAACCTAGCAGGGAGTATTCCAAATCCTGTAGTTTTATGTCGGATGTCAAAGGGCTTAAATGGTTCTGTCCTTCCAGCTTTGCTGACTGCAACACATTTCTCTCTCTTGAACTGGTTCCACTCACTGTATGCAGCTCTCCTTGGCAGGTATCCTACAGCTCTGTCATCTCCAACATCCTGGGGTCTCCAATACAATCCAGGTTTCACTTTTACAGCTTCATGCAATGGCCTCCGTGGGCCTCCATTCAAAGACTTCCCTGTCACATTCCTGGCCTCAGCAGCTTTCCTTAATGCTGTAGGCAGATTCTACAACCCATTTACTCTTGTATCCTTCTTGAGTCTAAGAACAGACTGAGGGCTGAAGCTGCCAAATTCTGCTGCTGGCTTGGGATTGAACCTGGCCCCCTCCATGAAATATTTACAT